CACAACTAGACTGAAGAACAAAAGGACAACAACTTGTCTGTTCCCCTTCCTCTGATTCCCCAGCGCTGTTCCCCTCCCCCAATTCCCCAATAAAATCTTTAAAAAATAAAAAAATAAAAAAAATAAAATGATCAAAGAAACAAAACAGCCAAATGTGCAAATGCAATGTTTGAATCTTGATTGGGTCCTAATTTTAAAATATACCAAAAATCTAAAAAAAGATACTTTAATATAAATAGTTATTAGCATAATTGGATAACTTGAATACACAAGACATGGCCATATTATTGTGATACTGTAGAAAAATGTCTTTATTTATTTTAAAGATTTTTATTAAAATATAGCTAACATACAATATTATATTAGTTTCAGGTGTACATCATAGTTATTCAACAACACAACACCCACCTGGCACTATACATAATTATTACCATATTATTAATTATATCCCCTATGCTAAAGAAGTGATCACCATGATAAATCCAACAACCATCTGATGCTGTACCAAGCTATCGTGATATTATTAACTATATCCCCTGTGCTGTACATTACATCCCTAAGACTTATTTTTTTTTATATCTGGGATTTTGAACATCTTATTCCCCTTTGTCTTTTCCCCTTTTTTAAAATTTTCACTTACAGTTAACATTCAATATTATTTTATATTAATTTCAGGTGTACAGCATAGTGGTTAGACATTTATATAATTTATGATGTGATCCCCCTGACTAATGTAGCACCCACCTGGCACTATACATAGTTATTACCATATTACTAACTATATTCCCTTTACATTTACTTTACATTGCCATGACTACTTTGTAACTACCAATTTGTACTATTTAATGCCTTCATCTTTTTCATCCTGTCCCCCAACACCCCTCCCATCTATCTAGTACTCATCTAACACCATACATAGTTGTTACAATATTATTAACCAAATATCTTATGCTATCCCCTACATCCCCATGACTACTTTGTAAAAACCAATTTGTACTTATTAACCCCTTCTCCTTTTTCACCCATTCCTAACCCTCCTCACATCTGGAAACCATCAAAATGTTCTCTGTATCTATGGATTTGTTTCTATTTCATTTGTTTGTTAATTTTGTTCTTTAGATTCCACATATAAGTGAAATCACATTGCATCTGTCTTTTGCTTTCTGACATACTTCACCCAGCACAATACCCTCCAGGTCCATCTATGCCACCACAGATGGCAAGAACCCATTGCCTTCCATGATTAAGCATTATGCCATTGTATGTATGTATCACGTGCTCTTTATCCATTTAACCATTGAAAGACACTCAGGCTGTCTCCACATCTTGGCCATTGTAAACAATGCTATAATGAACATGTGGATGCACACATCTTCTAGAAGTAGCATTTTGGGTTTCTTAGGATAATTACCCAGAAGTGGGATTACTGGGCCCTTCTTTATCACTTGTTATAGCCTCTCTTTGAAGTCTATTTTGTCTGGTATAAATATTGCTACCACAGCTTTTTTGTTTGTTAGTTTCCATTTTCATGAAATATCTTTTTCCCATCTTTTGATCTGGTGAGTCTCTTGTAGGCAGCATATGTAAGGGTCTTGTTTTCTTATCCATTCAGCTTCTCTATCTTTTGATTGGAACATTTAATCCATTTACATTTACAGTAATTGTTGATAGATATGTAGTTACTGCCATTTTATTCTTCTTCTTTTTTTTTTTTTTTGCCTTAAGGAAGTCCCTCTAAAATTCATTATGATACTGTTTGGTGGTGAGGAACTCCTTTAGCTTTTTCTTGTCTCGGAGGCTCTTTACATGTTCTTCAATTCTAAATGACAGCTTTGCTGGGTAGAGTAATCTTGGTTGTAGGTCCTTGCTTTTCATCTCTTTGAATATTTCCTGCCAATCCCTTTTGGATGCAAAGTTTCTGTTGAGAAATCAGCTGATGGTCTTATGGGAGCTCCCATTGTAGGAAACTAACCGCTTTTCTCTTGCTGCTTTTAAGATTCTCTCTTTGTCTTTAACCTTTGGCATTTTAATTCTGATGTGTCTTGGTGTGGGCCTTTTTTGGGTTCATCTTGTTTGGGACTCTCTGTACTTCCTGGGCTTATATATTTATTTCCTTTGCCAGGTTAGGGAAATTTTCCATCATTATTTCTTCAAATAGGTTTGCAGTTCCTTGCTCTTTCTCTTCTCCTTCTAGTACCCCGTGATGCACATATTGGACTTTTGATGTTGTCCCAGAGACCCCTTAAACTCTCATTATTTTGGATTCTTTTTTCTTCTTGCTATTCTCTTTGGGTGTTTTCTGCTACCTTATCTTCTTAATCACTGATTCCAATCTCTGCTACATGTAACCTACTGTTGATTCGCTCTAATGTATTCTTCATTTCAGTTATTATAGTCTTTATTTCTGTTTTTTTTTAAATGTTTTCTATCTCCATTTTTATGTCTCCTTTCTCTTTGTTGAAGTTCTTTCTGAGATCACTGAGCATCCTTATAACCAGTGTTTGGAACTCTACATCTGGTATTATAGATTGCTTTTCTCCATTTTGTTTAGTTCTTTTTTTGTAGCTTTGTTCTGTTCTTTAATTTGGGAAATGTTTCTCTGTCTCCCTATTTTGGCTGTCTCCCTGTGTTTGCTTCTATGTAGGGCTGCTATGCTTCCTGGTCTTAGTAGAGTGGTCTTATTTAGTAGGTGTCCTGTGGGGCCCAGTGAGCAATCTCCCTGGTCACCAGATCCAGGTGCTCTAGGTGTGTCCCTTATGTGGGTTTTGTGTGCCCTCTTGTAGTAGTTGAGACTTGATTGCTGTTTACACATCAATGGGAGGGATTGACTCTCAGGCTAATTGGTTGTGAGGACTGACTGTGACTACAGTGGAGGAGCTGTTGTGCAGAGGCTGACCCTACAGAGCAGGGTTTGATTTAGCAGGGCTCTGTTGCCTGCCCAGTCTGTCCTTTGGGTGTGTTGCCCTTGGAGGTGGCCAAGTGATGCTCCTGCCCAGTCTGAAGCTGGCCACTGTGGCTGCCAGCCCCTGGGTCACCTGGGAGGAGACCTGTTGCAGGCCAAGTTCAGCCACAGACTGTGCCCTGCTCAGGGCCACCTGGCATGAGCCACAAAGCAATCCAGAGATGGCTGCCACCTGAGCTGTGCTTGGAGGTGCCTTGAGAGGCCAAACCATGAAACAAGGCTAGCTGTTGCTAGCAGGCTTAGAGCTGCTCAGCCAACAGATATGCCAAAGCCAGTTGCTGCTTGTTTGGGTTTTGTGAACCTTTGAGAGATTTTAGGAATGTCTGCAGCATGAGCCAAGGCAGGCCATTTATACAGAAAAGCCACTGGAAGTGGCCTGGGTGTGCCTGAAAATTGGGTGAGGCATGGTCTCAGGGAATCAGTAGGGTGGGGCAGACAAAAGGTGATAGCCAGTTTGAAGGGGACTTAGATATGGTGTTTGCATGAGTCTGCATGCTGGGAGGAGGGCTCAACAAAGCAACAATGGCTTCTGCCAGCTCCTCCATCCTAGAGAAAGCTGCCCCTCCAGCCTTCACCCTGAATATAGACAATTCAGTTCCTCCCTGTATGTCCCTGGTGCCTTTCGAGCTGCTGCCCCAGCACTGGAGCTCAGAGTGAGAGCAAGTGAGTCTGTCAGTGAGTAAGCACTGAAACTCTGGACTGAGAAGGAGCTGGGACTCCTGGTTTCTCAGGGGAAGGCTTCTGCAGCTGAGATATCCCTTCTGATTTTTAATGGCCCCTCATGAGTGTGGAACCAGCCCGTTCTGCATCTCTGCCCCTCCTACCAGTCTCAAGGTGTCTTCTGTATGTCCTTAGTTGTAGGGCTTTGGTTCAGGTAGACTTCAGGCTATTCTCAGTAATGGTTGTTTTGTAGTTTAGTTGTAATTGATATGGTCCTCAGAGGAGGTAAGCACAGCATTTACCTACTCTGCCACCATCTTGGCTGGAAACAGACAAAAATATTTTTTGCTTGACCAAACTTTAGTCAGTCTCCTGAACCTTCTCTTAGGCTCATTTCTTCACTTCCTTGTAAAATTGAGTTTTAGGAAGAATCCTACTAAGTCAGTTTACCCAGAACTGCCCCCACCCCCACACATACCCTCTACATCTGATCACCCTCGTTATCTGATGGTGTTCCTTCTTCTCTACCATCTCTAATGTGATTTCTGATCTCCCTAATCTATGTTCAGCAAGAATCCTGTTTGGTCGGTTTAGCCAGAATATTCTTTCTCCCTGATGTTTCCTGTTGGTAATTTTCCACTCATTCACACTGCTCCTTGGCTATAAATTCCTACTTGCCCATGCTCTATTTGCAATTGAACCCAATCTCTCCCTTCTGCTGCAAAATTCCATTGCAGTGGTTCCTATACCTATCTCAATAGTCCCTGTCCCCTTGAATAGAGACACTTCTCAGATTTATGTCCTGAAAGAGTAGTGAGCCACTTCTCCATTTTTATTGAAGACTGTTAACAGCATGTGATAGACCAGGAAAACTTAAGTGACTAGCTTTCATGTCTTAAGGATATTTTAAGAAATCCTATGATGAATCCTTTTGGAAAGCAAAGAATTAGACTCCAATACACCAATTTTGTAAACCCATATTACTGCTTCCAAATTGGGTTCGCTTGAAATAAACTCAGTTATTCCTCTGCCATACAGTAGGGGGCACTCTTTAACTATTTTGTTTGTTTTAAATATCTACAAGTAGTTTCTGAGTGTGTTCAACAGCATGAAGGAAAAAACAGCAAAAGTAAAAATTTTAAAATGACTAAGTAAAGTTTTAAAACTCTGTGACGTTCAGAAAACAATTAAAGCAGTGGCAGAAAATGAAGTTGGTTTCACAAATTATTGCTAAAGGCAGCAAGGTCTTAGTGGTCTCCTGACCTGCCCATGTTGGCTCCAAATCCACTTTAGTTTAATTCGTTACACATAATTTTTCTTAGTTGAGGTTTTGTTTTTTTCACTTCCACATTTCCCGAATTCAAAAGTGGGTGCCTGTGGCACTGCCGAGACTCCCGGGAGTTTGGATATCAGTTTACAGTAGCCTTCAGCAAATAATCCGTCAGAGATCCACCCATTGCATTTCCCCCTTCCTTTCTCACTGAAGTCCTCCCCAGCCTTCTCTCCTGGGGCGGTGCGGCTGGAGCTCCAGCGCCCATGTCTCCTTAACTTCGTTTGCTGAAACTTGCTCTCTTCCCATTCAGAGCCATGCTTCGTGTGATTGTGGAATCTGCCAGCAATATCCCTAAAACGAAATTTGGGAAACCGGATCCTATTGTTTCTGTTATTTTTAAGGGTAAGGAAAAGTTTTCTTCTTTTTCTCAAGCCCTGTTTTGGAATGTTAGTTTTCTGGAGTGAGTCACATTCTTTCAAAGTCTGCGTGTAGGAGACTGATAAAGCCAAGGCTCTCTGGCTTTAGCTCCAGTTTGTTACCAGGGTAGGTCAGGGGAGAAAACCAATTTCTGTGGACTGCTATTCATTTTCCCCAGGGCTTTGAGACCTGTTATTTGAACTCTAATAAGGTGATTTCTGTAAGCCCTTGGAGGGGAAAATGTATTTGTTAATCCCCAAATTTCAGATATCAAAAAAGTCTGTGTTGGTTCAAAGTAAGAGTCATGTGCATTTTTTATTGTCTTTGCCTGTGAGAAATGGGTAAAAGAGGAAAACGTGCAATTAAGCGGTCTGAGGTACTATTTCTCCATAAAACAGCTCGCTGCTGCTTTTATTGTCACTAGCCTTCTGAGAGGTGGGATGAAGTTATTATTTTGGATTAGTTTGTTTTCCTGCTACTTTGTGCTTCTATGTAATTGTTCTTCATCCCTCCAAAGTTGGGATTTTTTTTTTTTTTGGTATGTTTTGTAGCTCTGAAATTGCTCATAGAGAAAAGAGCTCTGAACAAAACAAGTCTGCAGTTTGGGGATTTAATTGTAGTTTGGTCTTGATGAATGACCTTGAGCAAGTGACCTCATTTCTCTGGATGTCCGTTTTCTTTTCTGCAAAACGGGTGAGGAGAGTTTATTATTTATTTATTTATTTATTAAAAAGATTTTATTGGGGAATTGGGGGAGGGGAACAGACAAGTTGCTGTTGTTTTGTTCTTCAGTCTAGTTGTGGAGGATGTTGCTTCACTGGCCCAAGCTGGCGCCGTCATTGCGCTCTTCCCGGGCAAGGCAGATCAGTTGCCGGCTTCTGGACGGCCACTCACGGCGGCTGCTGGCCGCTCACGCTGGCTGCTGGCTACACACGGTAGCTTATGACCGCCCACTGCAGCAGGGGACTGCAGCCTACGCCATCGCCGGAGACCCACGGCAGCCCAGCTCCAGGTCCTGGGCTGCCGTTCACCATCTTAGCTGCAGAGGGCAGTGTCACTGGCCCTCATATGTGGGATCCGAACCAGGACCCTCTGGCATCCCAAGCCAGTTCTTAACCAACGCACCACTCGGCCGGCCCAAGGAGAGTTTAAACTAGATAATTTTTAAAAGGCCATTGCAATTCCAAAAGGTTATGTATTATTCTATGACATTGCAGTGGAGGGGGACAGGAGTGGTTGGTGTCATGGCACTCTCCCAGGCATTGTAAAATGTTTCCAGTTTTGGCTGGATTTATGTGTCTAAATCTGCGTTTAGAAACTTTATCATTTTCTGTTTAACCAAGATTGTTGGTAAGATTTTACATCTTACCTCTTGGCAGAAGGGATGAGACTGAGAGGGGAGGGCAGAGAGTGTGGGAGCCTGTATGGGCCCATGTTTCCGGACCACACCTTGGCACATTTCTCTCCTACCCTAGGAAACTGACTACTTCTCCCTTCCAGTTTCTGGGTAATCTATGACTTTCTCTTTTCTTTTGTCTCTATTATCTTCCTATTTCTCTTCTCAAACCTCTCCTTGTCAGGATGAGCAAGAATATGAAAGGAATGAAACCCAAAGCTGCCAATGGTTATTTAGTTAAAAAAAAAAAAAGATTTACAGGGCAAAAGTTGGATTCTTAAAGGACAATGTGGTTTGAGAACCTGGTTGATAAATACGTAGTCATGTTATATCAGAGTTAATTTACAAGTATTAATTTTAAAGAAAATTTTTTTCCTTGAAACTATTACATAATAAGGACATACATGGCAAATTTGTATCCTTTACCATTGACATGTAAAGGCAAGTAAAAATACATTGGATTCAATCTGGTGATGTCATTATTTGAGATAAGTCATATAGATTATAAAGGAATTAGAGTTTAACATTATATTGAAATGTGACTTGTTATTTATCTGGAGTGTATATGCATTGTTCAAAAATTTTAAATGACTAAAAATATCTCTAAGGCTGTGAACATAAACACTCAATTGACAGTGGAGAACTTCAGTAAAATTGGGCAAATACGGTTTCTCCAAACAATTACATTTACTAGATTATTTAATTCTAGTATCTTCCGGTCTCCTTTGGCTGTACAAATTGAGTGGTAAAGTCATTCATTCATTCATTGGACAAGCAACCTGACAGAAGAAATACTTCCGAACTCAGAGTAGGAACATCTGGACTCTGGCTGATGTAAACTAAATATCTGATAACCCAGTTTTAACTACCTAGGTCTCAAATTTCTCAGATGTGGAATGATGGGAACTGATCTTGAGGTTCCTTTCAGCTTTAAGAGTCTATAATTTTACAGTGCCGTGTATTGAATACCTGTTCTCAGGAAGATATACAAGGTGTAGCCTTAGGCGTTAGAGAGAATATAGTAATGAGTATGACATTTTTCTTGCTTTCCATCTATTCCAGTGGTTTAAAACCCTGTTGATGGCTAACCCTTTCCAGGTGTGCCTCCCAACTTTGAGCACTGTGTAAAATCAACTAACATTAAGTTCTGACAGAACTGAGGATACTTGTACCATGAAATATCCATCAGAGGGAGCACAGCCAAGACAGACATGCTTTGTGGTGTGGAGTAGGGTAGAGTGGGGCGAGTAGGATGTCAAAAGCCCAAACAGAAGATCAAGACAGCACCAAAAAAAACCCTTGTGTTTATTGAAATGTGTAAAATTTTGCCTCTTGAGGACATAAAACAAAGATCAGGGCAATAAGCAGTTTTTCTCAAATTCTAAGATGGTAGGAAGAATGTCCAAATAATGGGCGTGTTAATGGTGATGCCATATAGGCATCATGAGGCCCTGTTAGATTGTATTTACACTGTAGTTGGGAATGTACTGCACAGACAGCCAACTGGCTTAAGGTTGACCCCAGCTTTTTGGAACTGCACCTGCAATATCTCTGAGATACGCATGTTTTTACAAAACACTCTGAAAGGTAAAAGTGTTTAATCTACTGAGTCATTCCCATCACTTCCGGGAGAACAGCGCTTGGAGACTCACTCACCACCTAAGGAAAAGTGGCCACACCCTATTGAAGCATGGGAACTCTCAAAGGTACATTTCCCAAAGGTGAATTTTACAAGCTCTCAGCCATTTATAAAGCCACAACTCCTTTTCAAAACTAAATTAATACGGCATGTTTTTCTTCCCTTCCTCCACACCACATCTTCTGTGCATGCCCTCACAGTGTGTCCAAGGGTGCTGGTATTTTTCTGGTTTTGGTCTACTGGTGAATTTCCCCATCCACATGGGATTTGACCCTAGGTCTTCTGGAGATTTTGGCATGGGTGGACAGCCTGAGTGACAGTCACTTACTATACCAGCACTAGCATTTATTAAATTCTTACACTATATCCACACCTGTTTATATGATCTTCTTTAATCCTCACTTTATTGTTAGGAAGTAGGTATTATCTTTTTCATTTTACTCATGGGGAAACTGAGGCAGAGTCAGGTCAGGATTCAACTCAGGACTGTCAGACTCCAGAATCTCCATGTGTATTCCCTGAAGTCATCATAGATGAAGAGACACAATCTATGCCTCAAACCACCAGGTCATATTGTGAATGCTTCCTCCCTCTCTGAACAGATTGAGTTGTTGAGTATGTTGGGGTCATTTGGATCCAGTTTGAAAGAGGAAAAATGTGTACTGAGAACACAAGAACTAAGAAGCAGCAGAAGCAGCAGCAGGAGGAGGAAGAGGAGGTGGAGGAGGAGGAGGAGGAGGGGAAGGGGAAGGGAGAAAGAAAACCCAGCCCTTTTGGGGTGAATTTCCACAGGGCAAGGAAATCCTTTATGACATACTGTGACTCAGAAGCTCAGAGCTGACATAGCTTCGCAGTGAATCAGTTCTTCTGATAACTAAGTTAGAGCCTTTTTGGTAGTGGAGACTAAAACTCTAACTTATTACTATACATGTAAAGTATTAAAAATTTAATATTTGAATGGCAGGGTGAGCCTCCACTTCATCTCACCTCAGTTCTCTGCTTCATTACCTTCAGCACCTTTTACATCCCAACATAAAAACAACTTATAAGTTACAAAAAAATAAAAAGAAACCCTTCACCTTCTCTCTCTTTCATTATTAAAAACTAAACAATTATCCTTCTGCTTAACTCTCCTTATTGTCAAAATTCACTGCCTGGGCATTCCCCACCCTCTCCCTTCTCTCTTTGGCTGCTGTTTCTTCCTGCTGCTTCTCTCAAACGTAAATTCATTCAACAAATATTGATCGAGAGCACACTCTGCCAGGCTGTGTGCTCAGCACTGCGCATCAGATGAGGGACAAGCCAGACTTAGCTCCTGCCCTCCTGCAGCTTGTCATCCTGTAAATCCAGCGCGAGTACTATGATTCAGAGTCAATGAGTTTCAACTCCTGAAAAGGAGGCACCATCATGAATGATAGATGATGTTGATGATGAGACCTTACCAGCTATTTATTAAACACTGCTCTAAGTGCTTCACATATATCGATTCATGTAATTCTCACCCCAAAATGAAGTTTTTCGTTTTATAGCTGAAAGAGACCAAGTCTTGGGGAGTGGGTGGCTTGCCTTGTTCAAGGTCTCACAGCAGGTTCTAGGTGATGCTGGGACCCCCATGTCCACTGCTGAGACTGTAACACCCCTGTGTCTGGAGGCATCTACGTACAGCCCACCCTTGGATAATAAGACACGTGGGCTCAGGACTCAGCTAGCGATGGTTGACATCCAGGCTCTATCTCCTACCCATTGTATTTCCTTGGGCGAAGTCAGCCCTGGGGGCATGTGGTCAGACCAATGCCAAGCGCTGGAGCATTGGTGCCTTTGGGCCAGGCACCATTGGCCTCACAGGCCTTGTCTGAGGCTCCAGATGCCCTCCGGTTTCTCTCATGTGCTGGACACATTATGATGGCTTCCCGTGTGTGACATGGCTTGAGGAAGGAGTCTCCTCCCAGG